AAATATTTTAAGATAGTCAATATCCAAAACAGGGGACACCGTAGTCGACGTATAGAAATGTAAAAACTACATTAAAGATTTTTTATTAATTATTATTTTAATTAATTAAGACCATACTATTTTAACGTTTTTTTTATTTTTATTTATTTTTACGTAACAAAAAAGCAGAATATTTAACTAAGTTTTGAATAAACATTAAATTTTTATAACAGAAATTTTTATTCAAACTTTCTTCGTTAAAAGTGGTCATGTTACATACAAACATGGGAATAGGGCGCTTATAAAAATTGCCTATGTTAAGTTTAATTAAATAAAATATAACTTAATCTCATGACTCAAATTAAAACGTAAGTAAGAGTTAAAATAAAACATATCAGTTAGGAATGAAGTAAAAGTTTGTTTGTCGCGAAACTTTTTTAGAATAATTATTGAACAATCATTAATTATGAAATTAATAATAATAATTAATAGATTCAACAAAATAAAGTAATCAAAACATCCAGATATGGTATTTTTTTTTAATATAACCAATAAAAAATCTTCAATGTTCAGACATATTAAAGAAACATAAGAGCATTAAAAAAATTCGTTGTGGGCGTATGAATATAATTAAAAAAAAACCTTAAAAGCAACAAATTACTTTTACATAAATACTTAAAATAATATCAGTTCTTTTGACGCCAAACAAGTGTTTAATTAACGGATTCTAGCTAATAAATAAATAGTCCATTTATAAAATATTTGCAACAAGCAGTAATCAAATATTGTGCCTATTGCCCATAGTTTATAAGAAATATAAACAGAATTTTAAAGTTTTAACTAAAATGAAATAATGAATGATTAGAAATTAGAATCCGTTCAATTTCGACAAAAAACGTAATAAAAAAAGACAGCAAGCACGCTTCAAAACCTTAAAAAAGAATAAATATGAGTGAATAAGTTCAGATTACTTATAAACACAGAAACATTCACAAGGGTCAAACATCGATAGATCGTCGATATTTTGAGCTTTTTTTATTATATATTTATATAAAATACTATAATATACTTCGGGACAAAATCTAGTCGATTGGTACATTTATTTGTACATACTGTTCTAATAGTAGTCCAAGAGGGGATTTTGGGATATACTTCCTCTTAAGCTTATTGACCATTTTTGTATGATTTTTGAATGGTTAGATTATTGAATTGCACATATTTCAGCATGTAATTAGCCCACTACGCCTTAATCTGTCGGTTTCAAGTAATACTAACTTATCAAAATATATTTTTTTTATATTTTGATCGGCTGCCCTAGACGCGCGATCTTATTATATTATATATTCTTGAGTAAATCCCAAAAACCCCTCTTGGGCTCCCCTACTATAAGAGCATCATCCCAAAAACGATCTAATAAATAAAAATAATTATAATTAGTCCTAACCTAAAACCTAGAATTAGAATACAAAAGAAAATAGAAAAAATTACGTTAAATCTATGTAATCAAGTTTAAATATGTTAGTTGCTTATGACACTTACAAAAACCTAAATATATGATACAGTCTTAATTTCATTACACAAGATAATATTAAAACATCTAAAGTCACGATTTAGATTTTATTATAAACCAATCTGAGTATTTATATTTATATATTTTTACTATAATAATATTAAAAAAAAAGTAAAATACTTAGCACTTTCGACGGGAATAAGATGAAAAGTTGACATGTACTCTATATTGCAGTTTTTTTATATTAATTATATAAAAAAAAAAAAACAATTTTTTTTTGACGAAAGAGTCCAAATGCCACGAGCTGTTAATAACAGTTAAAATTATTAATTCAAAAAGAAGGTTCTCAATACGGCTGTATATTAACGTGTGTATATTATGTCATATATTTGCTTATTAGTAATCGATCTTTATAAAAAAATATATTTAAGTTAAACCAAGGTGAGAATCCCAAGTGGTATTATTTTAAAGTATTTATCAAGTCAGTGTACCTTTTTTTTATTAAAAACTAATTATTATTAAATAATAAATGAATCCAAAGTGAAAATAAATCATTACTTTGTATGACGATATAATTACATTTGATTTTTTTCATTAAAACGACAAAAACATACAAAAATTACAAAGTACGCTTTCAATTTCTCAACTTAATCCCGAACGGTGCGAATATAAAAACATACAAAAGGGAAAATCCGAAACTTCAATAAGAAGTATATGTACGAGTATGGCAGTGCGTAGTAAATTAATATAATATTTACCTGTATTCCGCTTTAGTTCATTAGTTTTATTTAGTAATTAATAAGCAGACAGACAGAATGTTGCGCTTTTATATACATTTAATGATACTAAACTTAAAAAAAAGCTTTCCATGGTAAGATGGGAGAAATAGCAAGAAACACAGGCGAGCCCTAAAACAAAACTAACGTAATAAGCGTATTGTTCTATAAAAGTAAATTCATTATTAAAAAGTCGTCTAAAACACGAAACACATTACACTACCTACGAACTACACTTACCTAGGTGTTGAAAAAATATCTATTTTAAAAATATAATTGTGTAAAGGACCGTTGGGTTGTCGAATGCACAGACCGATTTTGATAAGACCGTTCACAAAATACGTCACGCACCTTTTTAGATAAGACCCCCCTCCGCCCCCTACGTCACATTTTCAGCGAACCCCCCATTCCCCCTGTCAATATGGCGCCATGAATTATAAATACAACCTCCCCCCCTACACGATATGTCAAGGGTACTTTTAGTCATCCCCCCCACCCCCCTCCGCTCATTCGTCACGTTATGTCACACTTTCTGCGACCCTCCCTATCAATATTGCATCGAGAATGATAGATCCACCCCCTTACATGATATATTGCAATTAATACTACAGGAAATGCGATATTTTTAAATAATTATTATTTAATTTTAAAACAAAAATTTTGCAAAATGGGCTGCGAACATCACGTTTCCTTAGACCCCCAATAAACCCCCTTGTCGTAGTGACACCCTCCCCCTCAAGTACGAACGCATTTTATGAACAGATCTACATATATATCTTAAGGGTCTATATATTATGTAGTCAAGATGAAGTATTACGTTATGACAAAACTATGTAATTTCAATTCACTTAAGCCATTTTCTTGTTTATACTCGATGTTAAATTGTTAAATATTTAACGTTAGCAATATTTATTGTTTCTTTAATGTTTTAGATTTCATCTTATAATGGAATCCATTTTGTAATATTAGATTTGGTGTTACATAATTTTGTGATGTCTTTATGAGAGTTTATCTATACCTTTATTCGCTATGACATGTAATAGATCATATTTAAAATATTATACTCGTATATTGCTATTTTTCTTGCCTTTGCTAATTATTAAGTATTTATATAGTCGATGTTTGTAATTTTTTTAAGTATCTATACAGGGTAATTTTTAATTTACTGAAAACCTTTTGAGAATACACTATTTACAACATAACAACAACATCTGTAAGAAAATAAAAATATATATCTTAAATTTGACAAAAATAAAAATATTTTTATTGCACCTTCTAAACAGTAATGGTCCAGCATTAGCAAAAGAAAGTGCGTGTCCGGTGGAGGGGGAGGGAGAGGGGGAGGGGGAGGGGTGTAGGAAGCCGCGCTTACTCATTTAATCTTGGCCAAATGCTAGAACTTTAAAGTTTAGAAGGTGCAAAAAAATATTTTGATTTTTGTATGAAAATAAAAATTTAAGAAATATTATTTTTTCTTGTTACAGATGTTGTTGTTATAATGTAAATAGTATATTCCCAAAAGATTTTCAGTAAATTAAAAATGACCCTGTATAGGTTATTAGAATTTTCAGAATTTGACTTGCCTGAGTAAGTTATTGTTAAGAAATGCACCGATTTTCTGTGCTTTAGAATGAAGTCATTGGCTAAGCTTTTTGCCGTAATTATGTAAAAGAACTTTTAAGAGCCCCTGCTATTATAAAAATATGTATATATAATGTCATAGTGAATATAGGTTCATTTTAGACCTTATATAAGTGACATCTTAAGAAATTTGTTTACTACTACTTCTAAAAAACCTTGCTAATACTCATAATTTATCTATTCACATAACATTTAACTCCAAATAGGTACATCCAAGTTAAAATTTTATGGACGAAAAATTGTCAAAATTTAACTTGCGTAAAATTTATTTAATTTCGAATCTGTGAAATATAAAAAAGTCACCATCTATCAAACAATGTGTAAATAATACAATTTATTTGGAATTCCATTAGACTACTTTTTTCATATTCAGACAAGAATAATATTATGATTATTAAAATTTGACCTTTCTCTTAAGTCCTTTTTATTATTTTACACATTAATTCGTTTCACTCATACCCTTTCTAATTTCTTTCGTTATTTATCTATGGTCCTTAGTTAAACGTTGCACTCAAATGATTCGATTTTTTTTAATAAAGATTTTTTAAGAATTAAAACAAAAATATTCAATTTTTTTAATGAAATTTTATAAAACTGTCTAATTTCATCGCTAAAGTGACACATTTCGCTTTAGTACAGAACATTGAAAATTTATTAAATAATCGAATCATTAAATTGACAATTCCAAATCGATTATCACAATTACTCTATAATTGTTTACAAAATCGATTTCTCCACACTCCCATAACTAAACTTGCACTTCAGCTTATCATTTCACGCCAATCCGGTAGACAAAAATATGAAAAGATTTCAAATTTACAATTTACATAGTTTACAGCACATTTCAGTAAACGTACTTATTATATGAATTAATAAAACATACGAATAAGATGTACATCAATATCAATTAAACAACTGGTTTATTCGATATAAAAAAAAAGAAAAAAAAAACATAATTTTACATAACATGACGACTTACACTTAGTACGATACATGATAAACCGTAAAACTTTAAAAATAATTCCGTACAACTTTGAATTTACATATTAAACTAAACTAAAACATAAACTAAACTTACCTTTATGTTAATGTCAATCAGGCGGGCAACTTTGTACGAAGGAAGCGGGGAATAGCCCGGTACGTCCCGTACGCTGGAGGGTGCCTTTATACCAGCCATCGCCACGTTTCTTACACACAATTACAATATCGTCCACTTTTAATTCTAACTCGTATTCTGAGTTTGGTGGGTAGGGGACTATGCAACGGAATCTGAAAAATTATAATATTTAAATTTATAATTAATTAATTAATATGTTTAAATACAACTATCATAGAAGTTTTTCAAGATGTCAGTGTAAAAATGGCCTAACTCATTTTTTTGATAAAAATAACTTATATGTTATTTTATTCAAAGATATGTAACGTTAATACTATAATTAATCAGAAAATAATTATACTTTACAAATATATGACTTTACAATTGACCATAAAAAATTCAGGACTTCAGGAGACAATCAGTATCCAAACATCACGTAAAGTTGCGCATTTACAACTTACATAGGTAAATACTACGGATTAATTAACATAACATTTTGTTTTCTTTCATTGGCATTAAAATGGCACAAGTTAGAAAAGGACAAATAATATTTTCAATAAGCAACGTTTTTAAGAGAAATAAAGATATAGTGTAAGTCCACTGACTTTTCTTTAACAGGTTGCGAATGATGTCTGTCTCTCCGTGCAGTGACATCCAACGAGGCAGACTTACGGTGTCCCGCCCACTCTACTTCCCCCGATCCCCTACTAAAAGATAATTTTAATTTATTTACATATAAATAATTAATATTTTTCTTACATATTTTTTATCACTTTATCACTTGTAACACGAATAATTAATTAAACAATGAAATTATAATTTATTATTAAATAATAATTAGAAAAAATCTAAGTGTACTCAAAACAATATTACATATTAGTACTTATGAACCTATAAAAAATATCTTGATATGTTGTGCCTTGTGTACTCTATTTTTTTTATAGTTTTTTTTTATCTTTTAAGTTATTATATTATATATATAGATAGTGATGTGCAACACTGCAGCAAGCAACGTAACTAAAACATGAACAAACAAAAACCAGGGTAAGATTCAAGTGCAAGGAAATGACAAACAAATTCTCAAGTCACTAATGTGGTGTGAAATTACAAAAAGATGGGGATATAAGGGATGCCTTAATTTACAATGTGCAAAAAACCACATCCCATCGTTCTATAACAGTTTGATAAGACCGGATATGTCAATAGTGACGACTTTAAATGCTCTTCGAGGCGTCATACCGGCAGATAGCCAACTTTGGGCTACTACTTAGCAATTCTTGGTATAAAAACCCAAATAACAAACTCCAGTCTCACTTAGGACTCGAACCCGGACCTCATGTTTGAAGTATGTAATGTGCAAAGATATGGAAGAACGGATTGGACGTTGGACAATTGTCTAATTGTCAAGATTTGGATAGAAAAGTTTATATGTAAAAAAGTGATCTTTTTCTAAAAGTGTGACTCCACATACGAGATGATCTCGCAGATGGAGTTGCATATGCGAAGTACATATTCTTATACGGTTATTGAAAATAGATATATGGGTTATATATTCTCTTCGTCTCTTTCTAAAAAATGTTCCGTTACGTCAAGCTCGTATACATATACGAGGGTGCGTTTTTAAGTTCGCGGAATGAGAGGGTTGGAGGGGGGTGATTACGCTCATTAGGATCGTAACATGTTTAGTGACTCATAATTAGTATAAATACGAGATTTCATTGTTATTATACTATTAGTCTTTAAGCTATTGCCAACCAAGCAACATAATCAGGAGTGAAAAGTGAAATATGGAAAAAATCTAATCAATCTGCGAACATAAAAACGCTCCCTCGTAAGTATAAAATAATGTATATAACACTATAAAACTGTCTCTTACTGGCCCTGTAACATTTATTTCTGTACTGGAGAAAATGGGTTCGTATTTCGGGCGGATAGAATTTTGATATTATAGTGTCACAATATAAGCGATGTGAAGAGAACGGATTTGAATGCAAGTTTATGTGCGTTGGTGAATGCTTTGTATGTGTGCGGTAATCATTGATATACATAAACTAAACATACACGTCTAAAAGTGTCCTCAAAAAGAAGCGCACCATTCACAATTGTGCTCTTTTTTTAAAACTATTTTGTTTATTGCTTTTCGGATGACAAAATTAAACGCACGGTGTTTCACAAGAAGAAGAAAGGAAGCAAGAAGAGTAAGAAGGGTAAGATCAAATTTCAATTTAGGCAATAATAAAAATTAAAATAATAAGAAAGTATTATACAAATAAGGCAATTAGGATTAGAGATTTTAGATTTTTTTTCTCTCGTTTGACTTAACGTCACATGTCGAGGCCACTTTTTGGGAGAGATTTTTGTTAAGAAATGTGTATCTACAAACAAAGGGTCAACAAATAGAATATTTTTTACTCCGGGAAAATATCTCATATCTGAGAAATCAATAAACGTTAAAACGTAACTAGGGACGAACCCGAGCGGAGCTAGGGTGAGTCGCCAGTAAAAAATAATAATCAAATTATATTATTCATAAGTGTGTGATTTGCATCATTTAACGTATTTGTAAGCGTGCTTATATAAGCATTCAAATTTCTAAGCTATATAGCTTACTTTGAATGTGTGTGTGTGTGTGTGTGTATGTATACAGATACCTGTATTACAGTTAAATGTATAAGTATGTGATGTGTCAATATATAGATTATCAGTCTGTATGCCAACCTGTAGTAGTAAGCTTATAGTAAAATATGTATGTATGTGTGTCAATATAAAGGGTATGTATGTGTCTGTATGCAAACCTTTGCGCCCTCTGGTCTCGTTGCCGGGGGCGCGCGGGCGCGGGCGCGGGCGCGGGCAGCGCGCGCAGCAGCTGCGAGGGACACGAGCCCGACCTGCACCCACCCATCTACTCGTGTGTACGCTCGTATACGACGTGGGGGTGGTGGGGGGAGGGGGATGGGGTGAGGATTTTTGGCTTGAATTGACCCGTTATTGACTTATAATTAAGTCTAACTTTCATCTCTGTCCCAGTAAGAAATGCATTGTAAAACCGTAACCTGAGATCAGGTTTTTAACCTAGTTCAGGTAGGTTCCAAATGAAATATCGGAGCTACTCTATCTGTTAATCATTTATATTATGTAACTTTGTAAAAACTATATGAATTTATTATTACTATGTTTTTAACTCCCGACGCAAAAACGATGGGGGGTTATGAGTTTGACGTGTCTGTGTGTGTATCTGTCTGTGGCATCGCAGCTGTTTGGGATGAACCGACATTGATTTTTTTCATTGCTTAAAAGGTGAATTAGTCGGGAGTGTTCTTAGCTATGTTTGATAAAAATCGGTCCAAAATGGTCGGTTCTTTTTTTAATTTTGAATTTTTCACTTGTTATATTAAAACTTAGGTAACTGATAGCTTAAGATAATACTAAGGTAATCTACGTGTTATTTTAGGTCATAGCCTACCTGTAAAAAAATTTCATCCAATTGTCTCTAGCCGTTTTAGCGTAAAAACGTAACAAACATACACACACATTTATAGGATCCGGGTATATAAACAAAAGCGTTTATAATGTATTACATTATTATATACTATTTATTCTATTGAAATTACATAAAACAATGTTCACGCGTATCGTCATGCCACCGTTCTGACAAATCATCCTACTTTTCTTTTATTCATCTCTCATTCTATTTTAAAAATCTTATCAACATGTCCTTTTATTCTTAAAATATCGTTTGACACATATTTACCTCGCAAATATATATGTATTATTACACACGCCCACACACACACACACATATTAAAAATACACCTATACACAGAACTTGCACATTCATAAAAGTAGTCAGATTATTTTTTTACTACTGAAACATTATACTTGCCATATTTTAAGGTAAGTCGATAACTTTACCCGTACATATAATGCTACAATATAAAGTATTGTAAAATCTAATATGTAAAATTCTCGTGATTCTCGTGTCGTGTTTGTAACAAAACTCCACCGAAACGGCTCGACCGATTCTTATGAAATTTTGTGTGTATTTAGTAGGTCTGAGAATAGGACGTAAACTACTTTTCATACTCCTAAGTGATAAGGGTGGTCCACCCTAGGGACGAACCCGAGCGGAACGAGAGTGAGTCGCTAGTATCTTTATAGTAATCGTGTCATATTAATGTTACATTATTTAAAATAAACTCGTGCAACTACGTGCTATTAGTACATGGACCCGAGCAATCCAAAACCTTATATTTTTTTTTCATTTAAATTATTTAATAACAAAGTGCAATATTGTCTATGGATCTTGGAGGGTTTATGTGTATGCAGAGTAGGGGTTAGGGGGTAACAATCGTATACGTATGCGTGACTTTTACATACACAGACAAGATGAAAAATAATGTTCAAAATTTCTAACATAACTCTTTTTATTTCATCTTGTCTATGATTAAAATAAAAGTGATTTAGTTTACACAGATTATGTCATACCATTGAGTTTTAGCTCGTTTCATTGTTAGATAACAAAAAAAACATTGAACTATAAGTATTTTAGAAATGTTAATTTAATTAAATTATATGTATGTACTTGTATATTATTTTGAAACAAGCTTAAACTACAAAACAAAACAATGTTTGGTGATGTTAATGGGGGCAGGTAACAATCAAGAAGACACACACATGCACAATGCACACACAATGATAGTATGCATATGAACAATAATTTCTCCAAAATTTAAATTTATTCCTTTAATTATTAATTATTAGAAACTTTTATTCATAAGATTTTAGGTAATATATTTTCTGGGAAAATGGACTCTACCATAGCTAACATAACACATACTTTAATAATAATTAAATAAACTAAAATTGTATATACAAAATTATTTATATCACTAAAATCAATGTTCGGTCCACTTTTAAGTGTGGCTCAGTCTATGGTACTAGCAAGAATCAATTTAGTTTTATTATCACTTAAACTATCATAACGTAAAATCTATTATTGTACTATGCAAAAAGGAAATAGTTATTATATTAACATACATAATAGATGGACCATTTAAGATATCAAATCCGCCAACGGTCCATGGCAAAAATATATTAAAATCTATATGACCATTATCCACAAACTATAATTACATAATACAATAACAAATCCGTCCATACTTAAATATATAATGGGACAGATGGACCATATAAAATACAAAATCAAGCAATGGTCCATAGCAAAAAATCAATTGGAAAATTATCCGTAATCTAAATATAACTATTTAAAATAATTAATTCGTTTATACATATATATTATATATAAATAATATTATCATACTGACCGCACATGAACAGGGTGGGGTGAAGGCATCATTAGGGAAGTTCCAGGTCCATCCTCGAACACAGGATTGTCCATACTGTAGCCGGCCGGCGGCGGCGACTTACACTTCTTCATGGCAGCCAGACGCTTCATAAGGGAAACCCCCGTCGATATTGATGATTTGTCCGATTTTGACTTTTCTTTTGGCTGTAATTGTAAATGAAATATAAGTTAATAGTTACATACTGATACTATGTGTGTTTGTTTGTCTTTCTTTTTCACAGAAACGGAGCGAAGGATTGTTGTGATATTTTGTATGGACATAGTTCAGAAGATCAGCGAATATAGCGAAAATAATTTATTTGATTAATCAAACTATCAGTATAAATGCGAACGTTTGTGTATAAATAAGTGTAACTTCTGCACGTTGTAACTGAGATAAAGAGGGAGAGAAAGAATAGATGTGAAACGAGACAAAAAGATATTAAATATTTCTATCTCTATTTTTTACATTACATACATATCAACTCGTTTAATGTACCTTTTCGGACCGCGGCGTGGTTTGTTGCGGTTGTATTGAGCTCCATGGATATGTTAAAGGTTGACCTGTAATTAATAAAATTTAAACATTTTACATATAATTAATGTATTATTATTTATTTAATAATAATATCTTGACATCAGATATTGGGTGATATTAGAATTATACATAATTTCGTTAGTAAATTATAAAAGACTCTTCAGTTTACCAGATTTAGATGAAAAAAATAATTAAAAAATAAAATTCGTGTGGCACAAAATGATCATAAATTATACAAAATTCGTCATTTTTGTATCAAAAACCACTAACTATATCTCTTTAACTATCCAACATGACACTTCGAATGATAATTCACTATTATTTTACTTAATTTGTTTACGTTTTCTTGGATAAATTGAGAATATACTTAGTATAGTTTAGGAAAAAAGAAAATATCTATACAGATAAATAAAATTGAAGTATCTATTTGTAATGTTAAAATAACAACTTTTTACTAAATATATATGAAATTATATACTGTAGTTATAAAGAAAACACACTTTTTTTAATTTTTGTGTCTGTTTGTTCCAACTAATCTCCGAAACAACTAGACTGATTTTGACAGGACTTTCACTGGCAGATAGCTGATGTTATAAGAACTAACTCAGGCTACTTTTCTTTTAGAAAAAAAGAATTAGGGTTGCGCTCAAAAAAAATTAAAACTTACCTAGGAATGCACTCGAGCGGGAGAAACTATGACTGAGTCTCTCCCGGATCACGATTACTATAAAGCATTCAAAACGTCGGAAACCAAAAATCAAAATAAATCCGCAACATAATCCGAAAAGATAGTTTTATTTCAAATGTCAAATATTCGCGTAAATGTAACAATAAGAAAGTAAAAAAAGAAATACATACCAGATGTGATAACAGGACTAGTGGCTCTGGGCGGCGCGTCGGGCGGCGCCAGCGCGCTGGAGTTGGCGACCGGCGGGTTCACTGTAGGTTTCACTGCGGTCGAACTTGGTGTATTCTGCTATATTAATGAATAATGAGTTTAGAAATTTATATCAATCAATAAAATATATATTTTATTCAAATAGTACAAGTAATTTAAATTGTCAATTTTTATAATCAAACTAGCGACTCACGTACGTACGTACGTTTGTGTTTATTTTTAATGACGAACCACAAAAAAGAAATAAAGAATTTCGTCCATGAAATAAAAAAAATTTTTTTGGGTGGACCACCCTTATCACTTAGGGATATAAAAAATAGTTTACGTCCAATTCTCAGACCTACTGAATATACACACAAAATTTCATAAGAAACGGTCAAGCCGTTTCGGAGGAGTTTTATTATAAACACTATGACATGAGAATTTTATATATTAGAAGATTAAACTAGTGTTTTATCGCAGCTGCGTATTTCAATTATGAATCACTATATATTTATCAATTATATCCTATGTGCTATTCTTATCTATAAGTTATATTGTATAACGTTTTATAGGAAGTGTAATAGGAAGCTAAATTACCACAGTGTATAGGCTGTTTTAAATTGATAAAAATAACTTTAATCGAAATTTGAAAAAAAAAACTGGTCAAAACTGGTTAAATCGCTAGTATATAACAAAATAAGGTACAACAATAAGCTACCTTTTCGTGCTTCACCCTGTGCGCGAGCGGCGCGAGGGGCGCGAGCGGCGCCACGTAGTTGCCGGGGAAGACGCCGCAGCGCGCGCGCTCGCAGCAGCCCTTGTACCAGCCGTCGCGGCAGCGCTCCGTCACCGTGTACACGCCTGGACACACATGTATGTATAATTTTTAGCACTATCTATTAACGGAAGAGACTCTTCCAAAAAAATTTTTTTTATATTTATTGAGTGCAATTCTAAAAATAAAATTACCGAAAAATGCATTTTTCTTTTAAAAATCATTTGTGAATTCATTCTATATCTCACCTCCTTTCTTCAACTCCAACTCATCAGGTTTCTGTGGTTTGTAGGGATATAAAGCTATGTACGCTGAAGGTAAAGGTTTCTCGTTGCTGCCAGATCTTCTCCTTCGCCTCTCTCTGTCCCTCTCCGGTCTCTCCCTCTCTCTCTCCGTCGAATGGTCGAGGAGACTTGTTGCGAGGATTTCTGCTGAATGCCTGTAATATATCGTAATAAGGAACTCAATACAAATATAAAAATGTAGCTATCATTTAAATGGACTATCGAATGCCAAAATATACCAAATCTTGTATTTATATAATGAGTGTTTAAAAAGTAATATTTAAGATCATAATATTTTTTGTGTAAAAACAATAGTTAATATAAATTATATGTTAAATTATGACTTGTTATTATAGTTCAAGGTAATTTGCACGGCCCATTATTGATCAACTAAGTCTTACAAAAAAATACTCAAGAGTTTGTAGTATAAATAATAAAACGTTCAAAATAAAAAAATAATCAGTACAAAATCTTTGACAGAATGTTAAATTAAAAAAAAAACGTAAAGTTATATACATATAAATAACAAATTAAAAAAAAAACAACTTAAAAAGTCAACATATTGCTCACCTATTTTGTGTATGATTGCCTTGCATATGGGACGAGGGAGTCAAGCTATGCCGCTTTTCCCTCTCTCTATGGTCTCTATGTTCTCTATGGCCTCGGGCGAGCATATAGTTGCCATCTTTGTGCGAAGGAGACAGTTCAGCTTGCAATCCTAAACCAAAGTTTAATAGGGAATTTGGTCCACTCATTGAATATTTAGATGAAGATGGCACATCCAAGCGTTCTGTTGCTTCTTGGTTATCATTTTGATTTTGGTTTTGATTCTGATTTTTTGGACTCTCAGACGGTGGGAGACTAACATTTAGAGACGTATTTGTTGCTGTAGAACTTTCATTTAAGCTTAAAGCGCCTGAAGCATTAAGAGATTCTTGATTCTCTTCCTCTTGGACGCTTACATTTGTTGAACGTTCAATGTTCACATTATCCGGGGAGCTCGGTAAGCTTGGCTCGGCACTTTCACACGTACTTGTATTAGAACTTGTGTTAGGTGTAGTTGTTGAACTTCCAGCATTACCAGAGGGCGTGTTTACACTTGAACTGGAATCCGAACTGTTATTTGTAAAATTAACCGCCCTAACATTTTGGTAATTCGTTTCCACTTTCTGTATTGGGGTTGAATTGTAATTGTCGAATTTGGCGCCTCGCAATCTATCATAGTTCTCTCCTATACGAGACACGCTTTGAATTCCCATTGTTTGATGGTTTTTGTTGTGTAGATTGGTAAAGTGGATCAGATCTAAATGTTTGGTTGTCGGTTCCATTATGTTTCTGGTCCCCGTAACCACACTCTGGTTAACTGTTACATGTTGGCTCACTGGTTGCGGAACCAGAATCTGTGGTTGTGTGATGGTTTGCGCGTGGTTAGCGTGGTAGTTTGGTTGAGATTGACTCATTGTTGCCATGTTTTGATAGTTTCCTTGACCGGAATTGGGAGTCGATATTGACATTTGCTGATATCTGTGCTGATGCTGAAAAACAAATGTAATAACTTGTAAAAGATTTTTTTGTATGTTAGTCCTCATGTATGTAAACCATTCATCCCTAGGGACGAATCCGAGAGAAACGAGAGTAAATCACTAGTTTTATATAATTCGTCGCCTCAGTGTTTATTTGTTCTAACGAAATGCTTGTACTTTACTATTTAAGTTTTTTTCCCTCCATTTTACAAACCAAGCTTTATTACTAAGATATATATAGTTAATACATATACCTATAATCTATATCCACAAAATACATTGTTCCGGCTTTATCAACGTAAAATGTTCATTTAATGCCAATAGAATTGACATTTAAAATACCGTATCAAAAACAATTTCGGTAAATTAGTTCTTTGGACCAATAAGGACTGAGACGACGAGACGAGAGTATAAAACACAAGCGATCCACCCTCACTTTGCTCGGGTTCGTCCCTAGGTATTTTTTTTTGAGCCGAACCCTAATTCTTTTACTGAAATAAAAGTAGCCCAAGTTACTCCTTATAACATCAACTACCTGCCAGTGAAAGTCCCGTCAAAATCAGGCAAGCAGTCAGACAAAAATTTTGTTTTTCTTATAAGTACCGTATATCATATGCATTTAGTAAGTCGCTGCTATTTTGATATTACAAACAGACACTTCAATTTTATTTATCTGTATAGATGTATAGATAAACAAATATGTTATATACTGTGTTAAAATAATTATAAAAACATATCACCTGTGGCGTGTGATGGCGATGGTCGGCGTGCGCGCGGGCGTGCTCCGGTATGGGCGGGACGGGGCGGTTTATAGGCGTACTGAAATGTTCGCTAGTCATGTAATAGATAGACATATATGTTTGTTAGTAAGTGCTTTAAAATATGCGAATCATCTTCAACGTGATGATTTGACTTGTCTTAACGGTAAAGGAAAATATCTTGGGGAAACCTGCATGTCTGAGAGAACCTAGCAAGTTTTTAAAGGACATATGAAGTCCGCCAACGAGCACTTGGCCAGTGTGGTGTACTATGGCTTGATCCTCCTCGTACTGAAGGGAGCGGGAACTGGCCAAGTGCGGGCGGTCTTCAATAAGTCTTTTGAAAACTTGCTAGGTTCTCTCCACGCAGGTTTCCTCATGATGTTTTCCTTCAACTTTAAGACAAGTGGTAATCATGTTGAAAATGATTGAACGACATGAAAATATCAGAGGAGCAACGCATCACCACTCTCCTTAGGGAAAAGTATGAACAGCAAAATCACGCTACTATTTTTGAATTCAAAGTTTGTTTTAACGAATTCCATGTATAGAATATCTTAGTAGGTCTAAATTACCTGTTCGTAAATAAAACTATCTTTTCAGATTATTTCGTGGATATACACCACCATGGCGATACCACCGGACAGCAATCATGGTCACGGGGTCTCTCCATCAATGCAAAAATGCTTTGCATCAGGAGAGTCTCTCCCGTGACCATGATAGCTGCAAAGCATTCGAAACGTCGGGAACCAGTCAAAATAAATCCGCGAAATAATCCGGAAGGATAGTTTTATTTAAAATGTTAAGTATTCGCGTAAATCCAAGAAAGTATTACCTGTTCATAAGTTGCCGTGCCGCTTGATTGAGTTCCACGAAGGCGATAGGGAAGATTCCGACGCGTTGCTCTAAACGCCCTTCCGCCCAGTTCTCATCAACTCGACGATGCACTGATATAATTGCACCTGTAAAATGAAAATAAATAATTATTGTAAAATATCATTTTCACTATTTATATACATATAATAAAATTCTGAGTCGAATATGTACATTAAATATTTTTTGCTAAATCTTATCGAAATAGTCATTATTCGATACAGAGGCCTAATTTATAGTTTTTAGAATTTTTATCAGTCTGTCTGTCTCGGGACGCATCACTATAAAACTACTGGACAGATTTTGATGAAATATGGTATGATGATAGTTGGTTATCCGGGTCAACATATAGGATACTTTTTACTGCGGCAAAATATCTCATCTCTGAAAAATCTATACTAAACGTTAAAATGTAACGGAGCGAGTATGAGTCGCTAGTAATCTTATAATATTAAATGAGCAATTCTTGTATATATACATTTATATCGTATATCCCGGAAGCGGTTCCAACGCTTTGGATCAAATTTTGTATTTAAATAAGGCTTTGCTTTTTAAGTTTATATAGTTTAACAAAAAAAATTATCTTCTCCGAAAAAACGCGGAGTAAAAAGCTCAGTTGCTCAGGTACTTTAATAAATAAATGTAATATTTTTTGTAATGTGATATGATCTATAATGATAATTTGCTGTGTGGGTTCTCTTAGCGAGCTTGTAGGAATTGATATTACCAAAATACAGTAAAGATGAGTGACATAATATTCTAGTTGATTTTAATTTTTAACAGACTTTCCCCCTTATCTTATTAAACTATAATTAAGGGATTTTTATGATAGACTCTTTTAAAATAAGAAAAACATACCTTTGTCAAAAGCCAAACACCCTTCCTCATCGGGTGCTGACATTCGAAAATCATAAAGCGCTTTACACAACGCAGTACACATCGGCAACGGTACCACCACCTGGAAACATTACGTATGCGTTTTATATACTATCTCATTTATAACCAGTTGTGTTGCGAGGGGATGTCCCGTCTGTTTCCCATATACATAGCCTATACATATAATAAAATTGTAACTAAGCCGAATCTGTACATTAAATATTTTTTAGAAAATCTTATTGAAATAATCATTATTATCGATACTGAGGCCGAATTTATAGTTTTAAGAATTTTTGTCTGTCTGTCTGTTTGTCTGTTACCGCATCACAGAAAAACCACTGGAGGGATTTTGATGAAATTTGGTATGGTGATAGCTGGTCATCCAGGTCAACATATAGGATACTTCATTACCGTGGGAAAATATCTCATTTCTGAGAAAAAATACAAAAACTGCATTGTAAGAGTATACTAATATGTAAAACCTAAGAATTAGGTTTTTGGTCATCTGAACGCGGGCGGAGCCGCGGGCAATGCCAGTAATAAAATAAATATGAGTTTCCACCCTTCGTGTTTTCTCCATTCTACGTGACATTGGCGAAGTAATCTGTGCTCAAATGGTACGCTTTTAAGCCATTAACAAGAGAATTGAATTGAATTTAAGAGTTTCCACTCCTTTTCTACCGTATACCAACATATAATAAAATAATAACAAAGCGAAATCTGAGCATGAAATATTTTTAAAAAACAATAACTGTTACGTATTATGTATAGAATATATACCCCAAAAAAAAGTTATTGAAAATTTTGCCTGCTTGTCTGTATCTGTGTGCGTTTCACGCAGAAAGTACTAAACGGATCTGAACTAAATTTTGTGTAGTGATAACTTATTACTTGGGTGAATATTTAATACCTTTTACTACAGGGAAATCTTTCATTCCCACCGGAAAACACAATAACTGGTTCTATCAAGACGTCCTTAGAAAATATGTTTATATCTAACGCTGGCTTAACCTTAACAGATAAATCAAAACAATGTACATTGTAGGGCTTCTTGAAAGTTAAAAATACAGACAAACATTATCAGATCTGTGATTTTAGATTATAACGTGCATAATTATAATATAATAAGTAATTTTGACCTCTTTATACTATTGTAAGTAGCCTTTAACAGTATTATTAAACGTAATTTTGTATGAACCAGTGGCATAATTTTTTTACAGCGGCCATGTAAGTTAATTATTGTTAATGCATACTCGTAGTAGTATAATATAATAATAAAAATTAAGGAAAAGAACTTTATATTCCCCATATTATACATTTTAGCCATTCAAGGTTATAAATTTAATTGAATATACCAATATTGAATATACCATTATTAGTTGAATATCTTTCCTTAAGAAAGAAGTCGTGGGTTCGAGTTCCGCATGGGATACATTGAACAAATACTTACATGTATATTTTCTGTATGTGTGTAGGTCATTTTTCCTTTATGACAACGTTCTTCCTTTATTTATTTATTTAATTTTATAATAAATAACTGTAAAAGATATTTAAAACAGATTACCTGAACAAAAGTAATAGGAAACATGCCGGTCCTGCCGGATATTTCTCCTTGAAACCAGAATGGATCAAGCTTCTTTTGTAGGATGATAGTTTCACCCTTTTTGAAGGATAGATCACTGAAAAAGGATGGTTAATTAAATGAAAGGGATGAACAATTTTATACTATAATTTTTATAATATAGGTTGTGATGATTTTACCCCACATACTTTTAATATTGTGTGAAGGTTTCCTACTGCTTACTGTGGGATATCCCACAAGACAGGACATTAAGTATAGTACACAGTAAACTTTTGTATCCCTACAAACTGTATTTCTATTGTTTGTTCCCATACAATGAATATTATCTAAAATAAATATACTATGATATTTTAAAAATATATTAATAACTAGCGGCTCACACTCGCTTCGCTTGCTAGGAATTTGGGTTCGCCTCTAGAAAAACAAAAACAAATCTAACCCACGGGAACCGTACATTTTTCCGGTATAAAAAGCAGCCTATGTGTTATTCTGAAGTATGAGCTATATTAATGTAAAGTTTCATTAAAATCCATTCAGTACTTTTTGCGTGAAAGAGTGACAAACATCCATACGTCCGTACACACAAACTTTCACATTTATAATATTATATTAGTATAGATATTTGTTATATTTCGAGATATAATAACTCATCTCAAAACAGTTAAATTCAAAATAAAGTATCTTAACGTTGACATAAACCCATAAATAGATAGGTCTGAAGGATAACCAATTGTGTAGATCTCGTTTAAAATGTTACAAAAAATTGTTGCCCGACAGCATTATACGTAATTATAGTTAATGAAATGTCACTGTACTTTATTTAAGATCTATATTTAACAATATCATACGAATGTTAAATTCTCAGTTCTACAAAATGTGTTTTTTTTTGGGTTTAAGTTTTTTTTCTTCAAATAATACATTCATTATGTAAGATTATGTTTTTATTTGTTTTATATTATATAAATTATTTCATACTATATATTTTTACTAATAATATTATAAAGAGGAAAGATTTTTTGTTTTTTTTTTTGTTTGTACCGAATAAGCTCCGAAACCACTGGACCGAATTAGATGAAATTTGGTAATAAGATAGTTTGAGACCCTGGGAAGGACATAGGATAGTTTTTATCCCGGAAAGCATCTCTTAAGGGGGTGAAATTGGGAATAAAAATTTGAATGGGGAATCAGCCTAGTGACGAACCCGAGCGAAGCGAGGGCGAGTCTCTAGTTTTAAATAAAAATATTATATTATTATATATTTTTGCATGAGTAAGATTATAAATGGAACTAGATCATGAGTTTTCTTCTAAATAATAATAAACTTACAAAACTTAAGTCTTTTTTGATTTCACTCACCCTGGTTCCTTAGATATAAAGTCATACATGGCTCGAGCGTGTGGCGGTGGCTGTTTGTTCTCCGATCGCGATGATTGTTGAAGTTGCTGTATCTGTAACCAATATATGTAATTAATTCTTAACGTCCTATTTGCTGTGCCAGCGGTCGCGGGTTCGAGTCCCGCTGAGGGCATTCATTTGCGTGATAAACACGAATATTTGTACTCAGTCATGGGTATTTATATTGATAATATGTACGTATTTAAAGTTATAAATGTAGTGAAACAACGATCTGTTAACCATAACACAAACTTCGTAGCTTACTGTGGAACTAGATGGTGTTGTGTGTTAATATCTCAACATACATCACAATTAATAATAATATTGTCACTTTACACACTTTAAACAACATATCGATAATTTTACTATCGAAAAAATATAAATAAACAACATTATCATATAGATACTTCAGCAATTATCTTTATGAAGGCCAATAAGATAAACCTAAATAGCACTATCTGCATAATCAGCCTATATATTCCTATTAGAAGGTCAGCTTCGAAGACCTATCAATTAATTGAATTTGGAGGGCATCAGCGATATGTAACAGCTGAGCAACGAGAGTGATTGAAATTTTTTGACGATAATATTGCTAAATAATAAGAAATACGTGTGATTTAAATAGAGGCGAAATATTTGTTTTTTTATTTTATAATTTTTATTTTATTGCTTTTGAATTAAGGGTATATTAATATTTTTTAATGTAATTTCTTTTTGATTTTAAGTAAATAATTATTAGAAAGTGCAAATGTAGGTGGGAAATTCAAAGCAGTTGAAACGTACGCCATTTGTTAGTTGTTTTTATACAATTACCTATATAACGACTAGCGACTCATCCTCGCTTCGCTCGGGTTCGTCCCTAGGTTGATTCCCCATACAAACTTTCATCCCCATTTCACCCGCTTAAGCGATGATTTTCGGGATAAAAAGTATCCTATGTTCTTCCCAGGGTCTCAAACTATCTTCATACCAAATTTCATCTAAATCGGTTCAGTAGATCCAGAGATTACCCCTACAACGTCACAAACCTACAATTCACAAACTTTACCTCTTTATAATATTAGTATAGATAAGCTATTGTATAAAAAAATTTAAAATAAATACACATATTCCCTATTACGCATATAAAACCCCAAATGTCTATAAATATTAACATTATCTTTTGTCTTGGAAAATTTATGGACGGCTTATTTAGATGTTAGAAATACCTACTTTTAAAAATAAGATAACACCTCATAGGTTGATGTTTTAGAATCTATAAATTTACGAACGAGAGATTTAAAAAAGTATTGTTTATGAAACACTCGACTTTCGTTTAATAAATCTACACATATAATAAAATTGTAACTAAGCCGAATCTCTACATTTAATATGTTTTGGAAAATCTTATTGAAATAAATATTATTATCAATACAGAGGCCGAATCTATAGTTTTTAGAATTTTTGTCTGTCTGTCTGTCTGTTACCGCATCACAGAAAACCACTGAAGGGATTTTAATGAAATTTGGTATGGTGATAGCTGGTTATCCGGGTCAACATGTAGAATACTTTTTACCGCGGGAAAATGTCTCATTTCTGAGAAGCAGTACAAAAACTGCAACGTAAGAGCATACTAATATGTAGGTAAAACTCAAGAATTTGGTTTTAGGTCATCTGAAGGCGGGCGGAGTCGCGGGCAATGCTAGTTCGCTATACAATAAATACAATACATATTTAAACTATGACAAATTCTTGGGCTGTAAAAATACTTACCTTCACTGGTAATACAACCTATGACTTCTTGCATCCCCCCCAACGTGCGTTCACCTTGTCGTGGTGGGGGGGGCTCAGTAGTGCCCAGCAACCCAACCGGGCGCGAAGCCAAGAAACGCACTGGGAGGTGGCCCACTTCGGTGGGCGGTGGGAGGTGGCCCTCTTCGGAGGGCGGTGTACCATGCGGGTTGCTCCTGGTACTTCTCTGATAGCAGAGTGGACTTTGGAGTAGTCCCGTGGTTGTTGTGGTCTGCTTTGGCAGACCTGCCGTCGGGGCGTCGTAGTTGAATGCGTAAGCGATCCTGCGACGCCCCATTAAGACGGGGGATTTAAAAAAAAAGACTTCTTGCATAGTGCAACATGTAGACAACTTGAGTTTGGTTCTTGAATGTTACAAAAAATTTAACTATAACTACTCAACGTCTGTACTAAATACTAATATAGAACAAATTCTCTTTACCTGAGAATGTCCACTTCTAATTCGCTGGCCACTTATTTTCCTCGGAGCAGAGTTCTTCATACCCTCGAGTATCCTCATGAGGAGGACATTTGGAGGCAACTCCTCCACCTTCGTCTCCACCAGGACCCGGCATTCGGGACATCGTAGTTCTTTGTGTGATTCTACGATGACCTGAAACAATAAATTTTTAGTATTATTAAAAAAAAAATTAAAGTAGATATAAAAATTAAGTACAACACGTACTGTATTACTTATATTTATATTTTATATTTGTAAAGATATAAAAAAAATATTGCTGCTTATAGAAGACAAAGTAGTAACGTGGTGGGTATCAATCGAAGGTGACTATATTACGGTCTACGGAGGTTTGATTATATGAAAGAATACTTTAAAAGACTAAATATTACAGTACCAGCTGAACCAAAAGATGTCTTATTCAAATTTCAATAAATTTGTTAATTAAGTTAATCTTTGGGTTCATACAAAGTTCTACAGAAAAAAAGCACGTTTATTTTTCTCGAATTTCCCAATTTCCGTTCCATCTAAAAAGTTTTTATTTTGATTAATTAGAAAAATTGCCGAATCGTACGGTCGTGAAGTGATGCATAGCATTTAATTTTTATTTATATACATATATAATAGACAATATATACTAATATTCTTCCATCAATTTATTTATTAGCAATAAAATCGGAAATCGGATTATCATTATTCTTAACATCATTAATCATGTTCAATGATATAATTACCTATTAATTATTTATATAAATTATGTATTATAGATTTTTTAATTACTTAAATACTAGCGACTCACCCTGGCTTCGTTCGGGTTCGTACCTAGCTTGCTTCCCCATACAAACTTTCATTCCTATTTTCACCCCCTTAAGGGATGATTTCCGGGATAAAAAGTATCTTATGTCCTTCCCAGGATCTCATACTATCTTCTCATACACTCACAAACTTTACCTCTTTATAATATTAGTATATAGCTTAAATGTATCCTATCTATAAATAAAACACGCTAAGCCACAGTGGATGGACCCTATTACTATATCCCGTGAGGGTTCGTGCACTGAACACATGATAATACTCTTAGTATACACGTCAAATAATCTTGCATACATACTAGTCAATCCGTATTAATATTATAAATGTGAAAATTTGTATGGATGTTTGTTACTCTTTCACGCCAGAATGGCTGAATAGATCTGGATGAAATTTGGCACAGAGATAGATTATAGTCTGGAATAACACTACTTTTTATCTCGGAAAAATGTATGGCTCCCGTGGGATAGGTTTTTTTTTTTTGTTTTCCTAGAGGCGAGGCTGAGCCGTTAGGTAATGAATAATCTGACTGCTATTATATGTTTGTGTTTTAATGACTTTATTGACAGGGAATCACAATTATTAGGATTTGCAAGTTTTTTTAACGCATCTCGGTTAGCAAGCTCCTATAGCTCGCATATATGCTAAATATAATGAAATATCTCGAGCTCTGCCTGGCATCGACATATTTCACAACTCGTAATGCTGTATTTAAAAAAAACTCACCGATCATCTATCGGTGAGTCTTCATTTACATTGAAATAAATATATATGTATATTCTTTTTTCCTTTTTCCCCTCTCAGTGTTTACATGTATTTGTTGGTGAATGTTATGTACACTAGTTATTGATATACATATCAGTGTGTGTTACTTTTCAATTTTCTTAATATGTTGTTGTAATGTTAAATATGTATATTGTAAGTGTGCTTATAAATAAATAAATAAATAAATAAATCATTTTACCGGAAATTGGAAAAAAAGTGTATTAATACTTTCTTAGATTTACGCGAATACTTGACATTTTAAATAAAACGATCTTTTCAGCAATCATGCAATCATGGTCACGGGAGAAGTCTCTCCCGTGACCATGGATGCTGTAAAGCATTCGAAACGTCGGGAACCAAAAATCAAAATAAATTCGCGAAAGAATCCGAAAAGATAGTTTTATTTAAAAAGTGTATTTATAACATAAATTTAACTTTCAGTTTGAATAACTTTCGAACGAGTGGGTTTATCGAAAAATAATAAAGGACGTTTTTGTAGAGCTTTAAATTACCTATAAGAATGTGTTTTGGTCATTTGAATTTTTTCATCATTCAGCTATTGGTTATTGAGATATAATTTTTTTGAAATTGAAAAATAATTTTTCCCATAGGTACTATTTCTATGCAAAATACAAATTCGCGATGCTCGACCTATAAATACTAATATTAAGACTTCCAATTTTTACGGGCATCTTTTCTCACTTCCCTGTATCTATTTTACAGCGGATTCCGAAAAAAAATAAAAGGTGATTTTTTTTGAATCAGTCTAATATGTATGTATATGTTTATGTTGTTTAGTACGCAGACTATGAGCTGGAATAACACATAGGCTAATTTAGAACGTAGAGGCGTAACCAAAAGTACATCAAAAAATATCTGAGGTCATTCATAATCCTTCCGCTGTTTTACTAATATTAATGTCGGGCAAAATATTCTATAACAACTTTCTTATATATTTAAATACTAGCGACTCGCCCTCGCTTCGCTCGGGTTCGTCGTTTTAAATAGATATAAATAGTTATTAGCCAGCGTTAGCCATATAATTTTTTTTTCGTTAATTTTTCTGATATTTTAATACTTATTATCCTATTCCGGACTAAGAGAAATCCAAAAAATCAAATATCATAAAAATTCGTCCAGCCGTTATTGAGTTATAAATGGTGTAACTAACACGACTTTGTTTTATATATTAATATAGATAATGTTCATTCCTTAGAAAATTCCTCAGAATCGGTGAAAGTTTTAACCCATACAATGGAAAGTTTAAATCGATTTAAACAGTAAAACTTAAGCTTTTCTTTATACCTAAATAAGTAGAATATTATAAGGCAAGTGACATCTAATCCTTTCGTTGTCACTTTTGCATAAAGTTAGAGCATTTTTGTGTAGACACAAAGCTATTTAGACACACAATACGACATTTCGGGTCGAATTTGTATATATAATACGTAGTTAAATCATCGGTACTTGACGTGGGTATGACTAAGCCGTTGGGAGTCGTTTAAGCAAAGATATGAGGGCGGCCACTAAGCGATAAAATAACCCTACCACAATACGTCTATGCATATAAGAACTATACAAGACAATAAACTTTACTGATAAATTGGGGGAAAACCATTTCTAATATGTATATAGAAGTGAAATACCGCTCACCGACTAATCATGAAATCTATCAGTACCCACTGGAAAAAGTGGTTTGGAAATTAAAGGGGTGAAAAAGTGGTGGGATATTTATATTAAAATCCTTTACTTTTAAAACACGCGGGCAAATCCGCGGTAGAAAGCTAGTTTCATTAAAACGAATCGTAATAGCAAAAATGACGTTTACATTATGCGTACTAGGTAACCGCGGATACGGTTGCCAGCAATCAACAATTTACATTATATTAGGCACCATAACGCACATAACTCAATGAAAACGCAACCGCGACAATCATATTATATGTACATGTGACCGAAATGGTTGCAGTCGTTTAATTTAGGTTCCATAAATATAGATCTAATTAATCTTCTCCATCTTTAGTTTTAACACATATTCAGAGTTAAATTTCTCAAGTGTTGTTTACAATTTATAAAATTCCTTATACAACAACCAAAACACAATTCAAGCATAATACCTACATAGTACATGTTTGTATTAAATTTTTCGTAGTATAATAACTAAATATATATACGAAATCGAGAAAATTACAATCCAAAACTAAAATAAATAAAAATATGAAATAAACTCTGGAATACTACTTGTGTCCTTTACCTATAGATATAGAAAAAAAAATATATTGCTTCGATAATTTGAATGATATGTAACGAAAAAATTCTAGCACGTTTGAATTTTGATTTGGCAGCGTATATATTGAAATCGAAACGAATAAAAATCCAAAGGTCGGAGGGCGCATGAACTTGGTAAAGGTCGGTCCAATAAAAGGTCTCCCACACTATGTATGTACTATCTACAGTACAACAAACTCTGCATTGATACAATTTAATAACTTTCTTAGAACCTATGCTGTCAGCGTTAACACTTTTATGCACTAACTGATTCGAGAAGTCTTTGTTTGTACTTGAGTCTTTGTATTTCAGTTTTCCTCAAATTTATTTAGGTAATGTATACAGATACGTAAAATTCAAGTGTCTGTTTGTATTGTCAAAATAACAGCTTTTTACTAAATGCGTATGAAATATTATACGGCACTTACAAAAAACACAATTTAAAAAAAACCTGTCTGTCTCTTTGTTCCGGCTAATCTCCGAAACGGCTGGACTGATTTTGATGGTACTTTCACTGGCAGATAGCTGATGTTATAAGAAGTAACTTAGGCTACTTTTATTTTAGAAAAATAATTAGTCATTTATAAAGAGTAGAAAGAGCCCAATTAATATCAGCCCAGAAAATTTTGAGAAAAACATATATGAATTTACATTTTTCCAACATTTTTTTCTACTCTTACATTCGTTCATTCATATCTTAGAATTCTGGTCAATTGACAAACAGAAGAGAAAAAGGTACTGAACTGTTTTGTCTTTGCCTATTTATATACTCGTAAATTATTTATCCAAATATAAATATTTGTTGTATGACTCATGAAGTAAATTATAAATAATTAATATATGTACATATTATACTTTATACTATATAAATAATTTACTGATAATGAAGTCATGATAATTAATTGCACTAATATTAATACACTAAGGATTTACCCTCGCTTTGCTCGGGTTCGTCCCTAGTTTGATTCCACATACAAACTCTCATCCCCATTTTCACCCCCTCAAGGGATGCTTTCCGGGATAAAAACTATTTCCAGGGTCTCAAATAATCTTCTTACCAAATTTTATATAAATTGGTTCAGTACTTTCGGAGCCTATTCAGTACATACAAACAAACAAACAATCAAATCTTTCCTCTTTATAATAATAGTATAGATATATGGGCAATTCTCTGTAAGCTCGTAATCGGCTGTCCCGGCCCATTTTTTCGAAAAGTAATTTAATTATTTAAAAAAGAATCACTCCGAATGAAACTTTAACTTCGAAACTTTACGGGCCCATTGTTTTTAGAACCATAACTATTTTAAATTTTT